TGCTATTGTTTATGATGTCACTGAACAGTGTGCTATTGTTTATGATGTCACTGAACAGTGTGCTATTGTTTATGATGTCACTGAACAGTGTGCTATTGTTTATGATGTCACTGAACAGTGTGCTATTGTTTATGATGTCACTGGGCAATGTTATATTGTTTATGATGTCACTGAGCAGTGTGTTATTGTTTATGATGTCACTGAGCAGTGTGCTATTGTTTATGATGTCACTGAGCAGTGTGTTAATGTTTATGATGTCACTGAACAGTGTGCTATATTATTCTTTATAACTGGATACAGCTTTTGCAGGCCAAGGTATTGTGGTGAGAGTGCTCAAGCTTGCGAATGCGCATAAGCCATACGACCAAAGGCAGCAAAAGCCCTATCCAATCCATAAAGTTTATCATATACCTTATACCTTGCAATTACAATTTTAACACACAAGTAGATTAGAATGACATGTTTTGTTTTGAACGATGAAAGCCGGGTGCGCTGAGCCCGGTGTGATACAGGAAATTATTGCCCTGATGCAAGGGCGCTCTTCTGATAGCGATACAAGGCCGGGCAATACAAGATATATTATAATATTTGTCCCACTGTTCAGTACAATATGCTGTTATGTCGCTGGGTTGTACTATGTCATTAGTGTTATTTTTTTATGTCACTGGGCAGTATGTAGGTGATGTTACATTTGCACTAATATCAGTGATGACTGCTCACAGCAGTGATGTGCACAGGTATCTATCAGTGATGTCACATATGCACTAATATCAGTGATGACTGCTCACAGCAGTGATGTGCACAGGTATCTATCAGTGATGTCACATATGCACTAATATCAGTGATGACTGCTCACAGCAGTGATGTGCACAGGTATCAGTGATGTCACAGGTAAATGTAGTGCACATTATAAATATTAGCAATGGTGACATTTTCAACTCGGGAATTGAGCAGAGTAAAAATTATGACCAGCTTTGTATACTCTTACTAGTTTGTATTTTTGTGACTTGTAGCAGAGGGCTACTCATTAGCGACGATAAAAACGTACTCTAAAAATGCGAACATTGAAAAATGTCATATGTCAATATTTTGTAACTGTTAATACTGTTGTTTACTACCATAGCATATGTAAGAGTTTTAGTTTGATACTGTAAAAGGATTAATAATTTACTGGGTTTTAATTTTGCTTATTTCACTGACTGGAAAATGTGCTAAATTAAAACCCAGTGATTTAGCATAGAACACATTATCTAAATGATAAAACGTGAATTTAAAACCCACTGAATATGCCTGAAATGGTAAATCAGCGAAATTTTAACCCAGTGAAAATTAGTCATTTTACAGTAGTTGGGGAAGTTTTGAGTCGGTGGTCATTATCCACTCTATGATAGAACATTTTTGTACCATTTAGTACATGCATAAACTAAGTCATTTTCAGACAAATTTAAATCATGGACAAGGTAATTATTGGATCTATAATTACATCAGCTGTCATTAGATGCACTTGATAGCAATTGTTAGTGCCACCACATGACCAATTATTCTTTTTGTTTTTTCTTCCTTGTTTAGATTAGAATACTGTGAACCGATGTGACTTTGTGAAAGCTTCACTGGGTTTTTTAGATGGAATGATTTGCAAGATATTAAGTCACCATTAACATCATCAAATTATTGATTTGCAAACATTATTGCAAAAATTATATTGGTTTACAGTACTAACCAGTACTTACTGGTGGGTCAACTCAAAATCATGAAGATATATACTGTTACAGTATAGTCAATTTATGGAATTTGAATCATGTAGTTTCTAAACTCTGATTAGTGTAATATTTATATCTGTTTTTTAATGGAATAAACTATGAGATAAAATTTTATTAGATGTGAAATGACTTTATATATATTTACACACATTTAGTCATGTAAATCCAGACAGAGTTTTTCGTGCTAACAAGTATTGCACACTTGGTTGGTAATGTTGAAGGCAATATCTCTATGAAGAGAGACACTGCCTCTAACATTGTGGATACAGAATTTCAAGTAATCTTTTGTGGTTGATATTGAATTTTTATTGATCAAGTAATATTACAGCAGACAGCTTTGTAATTAATGGTAGTTCAGAATTGTACATTGTTCAAAGTGATTGCCTGCTGGTCAGGTATGCTCTTGTATTGTGTGCCGGCAAAGCTAGCCTTAAGTAGATACCATTGGACATCGTTATGCAGACAGCACCCCCAACATTACTTCTTGGTAATGCACAATATAAGCTGTAAAACCCTAAATATTTGAAATATTACTTTAATCAAATCAAAAGTTTGTTGCCAAGAATGAATCATATTTGACTCAAGCTGACAGAATCAAAAACCAAATATTTATAAATTGGTCTACTTCACGTTCTGCCATATTGCTCTTTTTCTCTATCTGCCACTGCATGCAAACAAACTTTAAGCATGACATTACCAGCGCCAAGGTTAGTTCATGCTTATGCAAGGTTATTATCTGTTTCCAAATATGACAATTTACTTTCATATAACACCTATATGAGTGCCAGGTTAAATCACAAAGGTTGAAAATACTGTGAGAAAGAGCCAGTTACATACTTTTCATAATACTGTGGAATACTTTATTTTCGCTTGGAATTAATTTTCGTTATATTCACTGAAGGAATGATTCAGTGAAAATAAAATGCAGTGAATGTACCTTTTTTCCTATATTTTACATTAAACTTGTCAAAAATCAGTGAAAATAAAAAAGTATCTTCAGGAAAATTAATTCCAGCTAAAATAAAAGTATTTTACAGTAGATGATTTTTCGTTTACCGTGAGAACTCACGAAAACAAACGTAAAAACTGTATTTTAACATTGACCTATAAAAAGAGTTCAAAATCAAAACAATTGTTTTGGCAGATGTTCGGTCAATGACATTTTCGCTATATATAAGATCTTGCACCGAGTTAAAAATCACCTATTCTCTCATTGTAATATGTTCTATACAGATGAATACTGTAAACAGCTTTAATTTTCTGAAACAAGTTTCACAAAATTTTATATTCATTACTGCACATAAGTTATCAAACTTTCCTAGGAGTGATCATTAAATGGTTTATAGTACGGTAGTTAGTGCTTCATTAAACACATTTTGGGAATCAAACAATTTACTTAAATCTTTATATGTTTGAGAATAATTAAGCTTGGAATTTCAATGAAAATAACACTTCAGTACAAATCAAACTTTATTAACAAATAGGGTTGACATTGCGCAATATAGTGGAGTAAATAAACTACAAACAAATATACATGTTATGATCACTGAAAAGTAAAAATCATTATCAAAACATTGGTTACATGTAAGTTATAAATGTCCAATTATTAAAATTTGGCAATGTGTGATCAACTATTATAAAACTGAGCCGCATCTTCCCACACAAGTATTGATGAATTTACAAAGTCTATAAGATATATTTGAAATCAGTGAAAACCCAGTATAACAACAGACCATTCTTAACCACTTCTTCTGCCCTACATTAGTTTATTTTTGGCACAAAATGAAATACTTATGAAACAGCAGAATATATTGTGACAGAAATTGAACAAAAATTTAAATATGATAGATAATTGATATGTATATTATTCACATCAAGGGCATAGAAGTAATTTGGGATAACTTCCTAATTCAATTTGTCTGCATTATACATTATATACACATTTACAATATTAAATTTAATTCTTTTTTAGATCAACTCTTCACTGTGTAGTGAGTGGGAAGATTTTGGAGGTGTCACGGCTCGCGGTTTCTGTGATGCCTTTGTCTTTGCCGTGTGTTCTATCAAGGAAAGGCATACAAATGCCCAGTTGTAGAGATACTGTGCCGGCATTGAGCCGTGTTTAGCGACAGCTCCATGTGGAACATCTAGAATAGAAAAAGTACAATCAATAAATAAATATCCATAGATACCTTGATACGACACAATATAAACCAAGGGGTATCAATGACAATCTCACCAGGATATGTTACTGTTCATAGTATGGAACCCACAATATGCCAAAATATTCATCAAAATTAGAAAATTGAATATATCATCACGAAATGAACAAATGTAAGAGAGGTCTACCCAAAGTACACTAAGTATCAAAGCAATATAGTTATAGTTTTCAGGAGAAGTCAAAAAAGTAAAGAGTTGACAGGACGTTTATGAAGGACAATCACTCATATGATAAGCTTTGCTCAACAAAGTCAAAAGCCGAGAAAAAAATATGTAACAATTTTCATTTTTTGAGTGTTCAATTTGTTGGCATTACAATTTATACAGAAAACATAATTGTATTCAGGTTTTACTCTGGACTTACTGTGACCGGTATATGAACCAGTACCTTAGAGAGCAACCCAAAATAACAAAGAATTTGATTGCCGATGGTTGCAAATTATCCTAGACTTACTTGTAAGCTTCTGGACTACACTCTCTGATGGTATTACAATACCAGATGCTGTGGGATCAAACTCCATAATACGCTTTATCAACTCAGTGTTCACGTACTGAATAGAAACAATATACAATTGGTTAATGATAGTCTCCAAACCATGAAAAGGAAAAATCAAAGAAAGCTTAGAAAGAACTCCCATGTGCTGAGAGTATTGGAGACACATTAAATATAATTCGAAATTACTTAGCTGAAAACTAATTATGCAAATCAGAAAATTAATATGACCAGATTTGAGTGTAAAACTAATGAGGTCTGCGCAATGTAACAGAAAATCTATGTTTCCAAGTTTAATTGAAATGTGATTAGAACCAAAAAATTATGAATTATTATGCTTATTAGGGAATTAATATGAACAGATTTTTACCCCAAACTAATTAGGTTTGTACATTGTCCTAGAGCATCTTTGTACTAAGTTTCATTGAAATGGAATAATTAGTACTTTAGATATCAGAGTGAAAGCTTAAAATTGGTTAATTATGCAAATTAGGTAATTAATATGTACAGATTTTAATCCACAATTATCCAGGTCTGTCTATTGTCCTACAGCATCCATGTACATTCATTGGTATGTGATGTTTAGTACCTGAGATATCAGAGTGAAAGTTGGTTAATTATGCAAATTGGGTGATTAATATGCACAAATATTTACCGGAAACTAATTGGGTCTGCATAATTCTAGATTCATTGAAATGTGATGAATAGTACTTTAGATATCAGTAGAAAAGCTGAAAATTAATTATGCAAGTTAGGTAATTAATATGCACAAGTATTTACCCAGGTCTCTGCATTGTCCTAAAGGATCTATGTACCAAGCTTCATTGAAATGCGATGATTAGTACTTGAGATAGCTGTGGAAAAGCTGAAAATTAATTAATTATGCAAATTAGGTGATTAATATGCACAAATATCTATCGGAAACAATCAATCTCTGCATAGTCCTTGAGTATGTAAGTACCAAGTTTCATTGAAATGTAATGCTCACTACATATATCAAATGCTGAAAATTAATTAATTATGCAAATTATGAAATTAATATGTAA